GTCTGCAGTTCGCCCGCCCCCTTCCGCGATCTGCGACGCGACGAGTAAATGTTTCTGTGATCTCCACTTTTTGCTTTAATTTGCGTACCTAAGGAGTTAATTTGCTTTAACCTTTTTTATATGTCTTGCAAAAAATGAAGGCTGGAATGACCGCTTTTACTTGTTATTTTTGGCACTATTCAGCCGTACCACGTACCGCAGTTCACGTGGCGTGTTTGGGCCCCCTCCCTAGCTTTTGGTTCAGACGCCCGCATAATTGAAGCACGGCACAACCTCTGTTCGCTGCCGTCTGGAATTTTTAGTTGTATATGCACTATATCATGTCTCCTATTCGAACTTCGTCTCGGAATAGCAATGTTCCTTAAAACATGTTCACCTGTTGTTATTTCGACCACATAGACGTCTACCAACTCACAAGTACTGCTTTTTCACGTTCTCGTGAAGGTGTTGTCTTGTCACGGGGTTAGTGACTCCGTTTGCGGTGGTGCGCAAAGAAGGTGCATGTTGAGAAGGCACTTCAAAAATTTTAAACCTACCGCCTGCCGTTTGACGTTAAGGAAGAATAATCCAGTCTATACATTCAGTCTATTAGCACCGAACGAATCTAAGTAAGTTAATCTAATTAAGGCTTGCTCCATTCTGGTGAAAGTGGTGCTGCTATCAGTCGTTTTTTGTCGGCATAGACATTTTCTTAAGCATATAAGTCTGTTTTCGCCTCCACGTACATATCATCCCTGTTTCTTTCCTTCTTTTAAGCTTTTTCGTCCAATTGATTGCTGATCAGAGTCTCAAGGATGCCGAAATGGCCCACGTGGATGCCAATGGCCACTGGCGAGAAGCCTTGAAACCCATTCAAAGTGATTCTTCTGCTGTCATATCCATCAAGGATTCGATTTCAGTAATTACTTCAGACAACCCGAGAATTACTGCCGTTCCCTCATTACTGAATGGGCCCTCCACGATGACACCTTGCATATTGGAGTCTAATTTCCCGTCCAGATCGGTGACGCCAATGGAACTGGATGCTTCTCACTTAAATGATTGCATCCTTCCCCTTGGTGATAGTAACGAGAACGTTCAGAACGTTTGCGTGACGCAATCAGAGCAACCTGTCGTTGCCCATCCCACGCCATCCAGTTTTTGCCGCGGTCAGACCCTTCCTGATACCGTCACTAATGAACGGTCAGGCAAGCGTACTTTTGCAGCGCTCGATTTTCGACCAAGGACGTAGGTTACTTTTTTCATCCTCCCTCCGCAACTTGTTTCGTGATAAATCAGTTTTCGTTTCAGCCGGCGAGTCCTCGTGATAATGAAAGATTATGTAAGGTATCTTATCCACTGCAAGTCCCGGATTGTGTAATAAGGGAGTGGTGGTAATAGCTGTTTTACGGGTGAGCTATCAAGACGAGCAGTGAAAAGAGTACGTGAAGAGCATTATAAAGGAATCCAAAAAGTCTGCCGGAATTATTCTTCTAAGTCCGCCTATAGCAACGAATTGGAGCTCGGGGATCGAAAAACAAATTGAAAACAACTCTAAATAGATAAAATGTATTTTAATAAGTCGTCGCGGGGAAAATTGCGACGGATCAGGAACAAATGGACAGAACAATCAATTGGAAAGATGAACAATAGATGTGAAACAGACCAACTGTGAAAATTGACCTCGAGTGGAGACGATGAACGTTAAAGCAAGAGAAAGTATGAAAATACAACCAACTGAACAAGGACACAGCCGAATAATGCAAGCAATGTGGCATTTATGTGTTTCCAAATGATTAAACTGTATAGAGTACTGTGAAAATGTAAATGAAATGTTTGTTATATGCAGATGAAGAGAAGTAAAGGTAAAATGTATTTGTAAACAAAGGTGCAGGCAATGTTGCTAATGTTTATGCTGTTTACTTTTCAATTTTAGGCGAATGGTTGACACAAAGGGGGGACGAAGGCAAAGTCGCAGAGATTGTTTGAGGAAATATGAGGAACTGTGCAACCTGATTAATTGCGACGATCTCATAGGAAAGTGCCAGGCCCTCGGACTCCTCGCAGCGAATATGCAATGCCACTGTGGATGGAGAATGCGTTTAGAGATGCTACGACAAAAGGGTGATGGAGTTGCATTCCGATGCGGCAAGTGCAGAAGAAAAAGAGCTCTAAGAACGGGCTCAATTTTTGAAAAGAGCCATTTAGGTATCAGAGCAGTACTAAAAATCATGCTTGCATTCGTTAAAGGATTCAGAGTGAATGTTTGTAAGAAAACTATTGGAGTTTCCCACTCAACAGCAGTTATGTGGTATAAGTTGTGCCGCAATGTATGTTCTATGGCGTTAATGAATGAGAAAAGTAAACTGGGTGGACCGGGAGTCGAGGTCCAAGTGCACGAAACGCTGATCTGTCGGAGGAACCGGAACGGAAGAAGACAATTTTGGCTTCTCGGAATCTATGATACAAAAACTCGGAAAGCGGTTTTTGAACACGTGAGCAGCTGGAGTTGGTCTGCTGTAAGACCCGTCGTAACAAAATGGATCAAAAAGGGCAGTGTGGTGATTACCGATGAACAGGGAGCGTACAAAAGGCTACCACTAGAAGGTTATACGCACTGCACTGTCAATCTCTCCAAACATTTAAAGGATCCAACAACAGGAAAGCCCACCAATGCTATAGAAGTCTACTGGAGTAGGCTGAAGCGGAAGCTCCATAGAGGAGGAGCAGTCCGTGGACGAGCCATCTGGGAGCACATTTGTGAGGTGCAGTACAGGCTGTGGTACGGGCTGTACTCGATGAACCTCATTGACGCATGGAATCTATTCCTGTCACATGTAGCACAGGCATATCCAGTGAAACGGGCGATGTAAAGCAGCTATGATGTAGCAGCTGCAGAAAATCATGAACAGTTAAACTGTTTATTTTATTTATATATTTGTGTCTTTTATTTTTATGTATAAAGTGTCACAGCTAACTATGGAGAGTTCTTTATTTATGTTTGAGTGCCGATAAGTACTAAAATGTAACTAAATGCTTCCGTGAAGGGGGTGTATAATGGAATATAAGGATCGCAGAAACCAAACTGGCTAACGGACACCTGACAGAAATCAAAATTACCGAAGGCCATAAGAGGTAACATGTCACTATAGACTTTCATGATAGGTAACATGGAAGATATGGATGGACGTGTGGTTTGAGAGCTAACACACTATCCGAATGAAACAATAGCTGACCCACAGACTATAATAACGGCCAAACGAGAAGTTTGCACAGAAGTTTGCAGTATTTATAGGACACAGTCATTACTGCAAGCATAC